ATATATATATATATATATATATATATTCTGTAAGATCCTGGTTAATCTAAATTAAATTTCCAGCCATGCAACCCTACTATTACCTGGTTATAAAGTCAAGTTACCAAACTTAGAGGTCTGATTCATAAGTGACCTAGAATTTGTATTCTAAGACTAAAGCAAAATTTAAAAATGTACTCCAGGATTTCTCTTCAAGTCTGTAAGTATGCTCTAAATTAGCAGAAATTTTATTTATCTGTCACTTCCCAGTGGATATGGCAATGGCATGATAGCATTTAAGATCATCTCAAAAAACAGAAAGAAATTCTACTTACTCCTTACTAATGTTGCTATATTCTTACTGATCAGTAGCATAAAATATACTTATTTGGCTTACTTCTTTATTTCTACTAATGATACCCTCTTGTAATTACATAATAATCTGAAACATAAGATAAGTCATTTGCCTAACTCAGCACCTGTTTTTAACCATGGAAAAACCACAAGCATGCCAGTAATTAATAAAGCTGTGTAAAATGATTAAATCATCTCTCTGAATTGATCTCAAGGCTTGGTGCACCTGTTTCAAAGGCCTCCTCACACTATTTCTGTGTATGGTATATGCATGAAGTCGCTTCTGTTGGGACTGCATCTGCAACACAATCCTAAAAGCTCATCCTACTATTTGCATCCCAGCATCCCAGGTTACACCATCTCTGTATATAAGCACTCCACCAAAATATAAGTTTTGTATCATAATACAGCAGATTTTGCCTTTTCAAATTCTCTATGTAGCTTGATGGACCAACAGCAAAAAATGTTAATAGAGTGTACTTAGTATTTAAAAAAGAAAATGAGAAAGTAGAGTTCCATGTTTCATAAACATACACTCTATATTGAGTACAAACAAACACAAATTTACACATTTACAATTTAAGCATATCAAAAGTTCAAAATAAGGCCTTTATCAATATAGTCTCCTGCATATATAATAATATGTGTGCTATTCTGCATTTATTTGTTTTGTATCAAAGCACTAATTTATTAAAGATTGCAACTAAAATTGCAATCTTATTTCTAGGATTGTATTATCTTAAAAAAAATTAAACAATGCAATAAGTAAGTACTTACCAAACCTGGAAAGCAAATATTTTTCTTTTTATCCGTACTAATAGTTTCTACACATACAACTTTTCCTAATAATTCATCAGTTTGTTTTCTGTCATCTTCATCCTCATCACTTGAAGATGAGGAAGATTCTTCTTCTGGGCTGTAAGTGAAAAGATGTCACCATTTAAATGTTTATTAAACAATTCATAGTTTTAGGATTAGTATGAAAAGTGAATTGTTTAGCTATAGGCTTATGGTTTATGACTTTAGAGAAAACTGGAGGGGAGAACTATAGAATGAGTGAATAAAATAAATAAATGAATTAATTTGGTGGCTGATCCTGGAAGAATAGCTTTCCATTAACATAGTAATAGAGCATCAAAGGGCATGTTGATTCAGCCTTAATTATGATATAATACTGTAAATTATGTTATCCTGGTTTGACAATTGCCATCATAACCCTGTAGAAATTCTTCTAAGTAGGAATTATTTTCTAAGTTATCCTGATGCTGTCATTTCTATTGTACAGGATTTCATAGACTCCTTAGATGCCTTCCATCTTTTTTTGATCTGGGAATTAATTACTGTCTGTTCAATTATGTCCTTAGCACATCAATTCAAGTTTGGAATCTTCTTCTGAGTTCTAAAATCCTTTGGAAATTCAGAGATTTTTTTCTTGTTATTCAATGTCTATTTCAAATTTCAATGTCTTTACAATAATATTCTTCTACAAGCACACCTAGAAATTCTTTGTCAAGTTCCCTTCTAGCATCTTTTAGTAATGTACACCATTTGTTTTGACATCCGGCTTTCTTTCTTTCGCTTCTTGGTCTTTGGTAAATCTCTTTTCACATTCATCCTTAGGAACTTCTCTGACTTAAGTGTCAGTTTCCTTGTCAATGAGATGTAGGACTTCAAAGTGATTCTGGAAATTCTGTTTGAAAATGGGTTACATCTAGTCAAGATCCTGGGAAATGATTGGCTTTCTTCTGCTGCTATTTTAGCTTAAATTGGTATTTGCACGTATGAAGTTTATGATCCACTCCACTGTCAATCATTGACCATGTCTTCACTGTTGTAGCTGACTTGCTCCACTTCTTTGTATCAATAATATAGCCAACCTGATTTCTGTATACTCCATATGGTAAATGATACAAGGAGTCGTATGGTAAAGACTTGTAATGTCAGTATTTGTGCATGCATGTGTGTGGTTGGGGGCAGGGGGGGAATCATTGATTCATAGAAGTTGGTAAGTCATTTTTAGAAATTGGTCAGTCTCCTACATTATTTCATTTTCTTGGACAACACTTTATTTTCTTCCTTAATATCCCAGTCATCAATCAATCACAAATGGCACATATTTTGCTTGCATATTTTTGTCAATTTCATTTTGAACTCATCAGCTCCTCCTAAATCTCATCAGTCTCCTCTTCTTTTGCATCAGTGTTAGACCATAAGCTTGGATAATCACTATAGTAAAGTTTAATTGTATTGTTAGGTCAATGATTGCATTGCAGTTAAGTCTATATCTCTCCTGGTTATAAAAGCAATGCTATTCCTTCTCTGTTTGGTTGGGTTTTTTTTGGGGGGGGGAGACTGGGGGGGTTTGCACCCAGAGTGATTTTCTATGTCCAATTCTAGTCCATCTTAATTCTCTGATGCCTCAGATGTCAATGTGTGGCCAGTTTATTTTATCTTTCACTGTGTTGAGTTTTCCCATGTTATATTCAGTATATTCAGAAGTAATCAAAATCATTTTCAGCAGCTTATGGAACACACCTTCATGCTGCTTATGTTGCATGTTTCCACCATAATTCTTCACTTCAGCTTCTTATATCAGCAGCTATATAATGCTAGATGATGGGCCTCGCAAGTCAGATGACATTCAACATCCTACTGAGGTAGAGTTGTGGATCTTTTAAAGTGTTTATCATGAGGCTAGATTAAAACCTTCAGGGCATATTTTTCACCAACATCCTATGCACAGTAGTGAGAGTAATAATTTTGTGGTACTAAATACAAATAAAAGCTTATGCTTTCATATTTAATGCACCTCCAACTCCCAGCCTCCAAAAGAGGAGTATTCATTTGAATGAATGAATAGTATATTCAGAAGTGATCAAAAGCATTTTCAGCAGCTTATGGAACACGCCTTCATAACACTAACCAGTTTCCTCCTAAGTTTGTAAACAGTGGAACAGAACATCTTCCTTTCTGCCTGGTTCTCAGAAATAATGGATCATCCTTTGAATAAAGCAAGTAAGTGAACTACATAGTTCTTCCACTAAGCTTTTGCCAATCTAAACTGTAGATATAAGAGATTAATAACAACTTTTTTCCTTAATCATTCTAAACCTTGCCTGTATTTTTAAAAAAACCAAAAGTTGCTCCTTTTTTCCCCAGGTAACTTTCCACAGTTTCAGCTTCTACTTTGAATTATATGTTGCTTTTTTTACTCAGTTCAAATAATTTTAAAATGAAGGTAATCATGAACCAGATAAATATAAAACTTACATGTGATTAGATCTTCTTCCTCTATTAGTTTTCTTTCCGATGACAGGAGTCCCAAAATGTTCAGGATTGGTAAGAGGGAGCTGATCTAATGTCTGTTGACAAAAACATTACATTTTCTATTATTGCAGAGAATTTCACAGCATATATTTGTCAGAATACGAACAAACACATTTGTTTAAAAAAACCAAACAAAGAATAATTCAGATAATGGGCCCCATTATGAATTCAACCTGCAAGGAGCATGAAAATAGAAACAAACAGCACAATACAGAGTGTCTATAAAGAGACACTGTTTTATAGAGATCATAAATCTATCTCGAATGCCATCTTCTCCTTTCCTACCTTCAGTAAGGTAAATATCATAAAAGGGCAATGTGTTTGGAGAAGAAATCTCTATTCAGAAGGTAGAGCCAAAGCCCCACTTTCTTGTGGTCATCTTTCCCAAAGGAAGGGGTCTAGGGCAATTCACTGTGGTCAATCTGCCATAGCCATCTTGCTGTATGACAACTTGCGGTGGGACAATCCACGTGGGATAATTCCATGCAATAAATGTTAGCCACCACGATTTCTTCTGTATTATTTCCATTTTTGTCATACATCTCATCCCACATAAAATACTTTTTTGTGTGCAGGAGGGAAGATGTAGTGTAGGAGCAATCAAAATGAGGAGACTGTACATTTTAAGAATTAAAACTACAATACCTCATATTTTTTGTTTTTTAATTAAGTTAAAGGTTCCTATTATTGTAAATTATTAAGCTGTAAGTAATTATTTGTTCTTAGTATGAGTTATACAACATTGTTCTATTCTTTTAACCCCTTTTACCATAATTGAAATCTAATTATAATGTCCATTAAACACACATCTTATTGTACAAATAAATGTCTTTACCTAATTTACCTAATTTTAAAATGTATGCTACTCAAGCCACTGACACATGAACACGTGACAGTAACAGAGATTTTCTTTAACAGAATCACATATTTTTCTAGATTTCACAACTACACCCCACTACTGACAGTGAAGCACAACTTATACATTCCATTAATCAGTGGGCAAATATTAGCAGAGCAAGCTTAATTTCTATTGCACAGCTAAATTAAAAAGAAAATGTTTACCTCACTTTCAGCAAAATGTCTTTCTCCTTTCAAGCAAAGTGAAGAGCGTCTAAGAGTTTTCTCATCTCCATCATCAAATACTGTTAACAATTGTAAAATGAAACACAATGTAAAATTTTGTACAGTTTTTTTAAATTTCCTTAAGTTTAATTAAATTTCAATTAAAGCCTACTTGTTCCATAAATTTCACACATCAATTTTATCATGACTTCTAGCTAAAAGTAAATGTACATTTCCAAGCTATATTGACAGAGTTTCACTTAATCAGAAACACCAGAAATACTATGAAATACTATAGGCTCTAACCTAAGCAAACCTGTGCAGTGTAAGAGTCTAGCCTTTAAGAATTCTTTGTAGAAATGATTGTTCTTTTTATAGAGTATTTTACAGAGAAAATAAAAGTAAGTTGAGTACAAATTATACATCAATTCTACATGTTGTAGTTGTGTCAGGAAATAATATCATAGCCACTGCTTTAATATTTTGATTGCTTTAAAAAATGGTATAGCAGAAAGCCAGAAAAAGGAAGGGGACATAGAATACAAGAGACAGAAGAATCTTAAAATTTTGATAGATAATACTTTATATTAGTTTGTGTGTATGTGAGGGAGGGAGGGAGGGAGGGAGGGGGAGGGGGAACGTTAGCATCTGTTACTGTTGGTTATTCTTTTAAAATATATATATATATATATA